TATATATATATATATATACATATATAAATTATCAAATTCTCTTTAGAAAATGGAATTAAATTCTATAATTGTATATCGAAAAGAAGAATCAAACATCTACTTTCAATGAAAATGGTTAATGCTTTAAAGTTCTTTAAAACAAAATGTCTTGGATTTCAATGGTCTTGGTATGATAAGACTGTATGGCAGTCAACGGAGTAGAAAGAGGGACAGGACAGGTGGATTACTAGAATAATAATAATTAATGATTTAGTTTGATTCCCTTTGTTACAATGGATATTCTTGGTGTGACAAACTGTTCTGTTTCATTTTCTTTTTAAATGTGTGCAAGGAATGGCCAGGGTTACCGTCTACTGGTGGCAAGGGATTTGAACACAGGTCAGCGAGATTGCCAGACGAGATCGCTACCGCTGCACCACACAGAACGCTCCAATTCACCTCTATGCTCATGCAATGTTCCTCTTTCAGTGCAAATCGTACTATCCTGCCCTTACTTTACTGAAGCCTTCGCTTTTCCTTACTTGTCTTCCCTTCCCCGACCCCCAAACAAAGACAAGGGGTGACTAGATCAAGGATGTCCAACATGTTTGGGGATTCGGGGAAGAGAGGACAAGTAAGGAAACGCGAGAGCACAGGCTTCAGTAAGGTAAGGGCAGGATAGTAGGATTTGCACGACTGAAAGAGGAAAGAGGGTTGGGGCATAACATGAGACATGTGTGAAAAGCGGTGTCGGGGAGTAGTGGACAAGAACAACTGGCCTTGTGTCTTACGGGGGACAGGGTTGGCATGGTGTATGGATTTATGAGTAATAATGAGTTGCGTGAGTTAGTGAAGATGGTGAATGTTGAGGAAGAGATGGAAAACATGCTTTATAGAGCGAGGAGGATAGCATATAGTTATAAGGACGAAACCAGACATGGGTACTGGAGGAGTGACTAGAGGTATGTGCAAGAAAATGTGTGAGGAAGACAGAATCTTTAGTGTTTTAAATAAATAAATGCGCCTGACATCAAAGATATGACAGAAGGTGGGATGTTTGATTTGGATAGTTCAAGGAAAAATTAAGAGTAATTACAGGAGGAACATATTATCCAGGGGGGGGAAGAACTGGGCAGAAAGTGTAAGAGATCGAGAATGAGGGAAAGGTGAATGGGAAAGCAGAACGTCCATACGAACAGGAAATAAGGTATGGAAAAGTGGAGAGAAGGTACGAAGAAGGGACTGGGGGACAGTTAGCTTGGAAAGAGAAAATTGTTGAAAATGAACACAACTTCTTAGAGACAAAAGGGCACGGCGTCTAGAAAGGGGTGGTAGACCTGATTCCGTATATAGTCTCAAGGGAGGATCCTTGCGAGGATTGGAAGGTGCCTATGCTAATCGACAACCGCAATGGTGGATTGTGTCAAGGTGTGTGAGAAGGGAGGCAGAGGCAGAATATATATGACAGCCATAATCAAAGGAAGAGAGAATTAAGGTAATATGGAGATAGAGGAGAGTTTTGCGGTCTGAACCCCAGGATATATGTGAGAGTTTGTAAGAGTCAGAAGCGACGGCAGGATTTTTCTTTAACTGAAAGGATATGATCTTGCCAAGACAGTTTGGAGTAAAAAAAAATGACATAAAGGAACTTGCCTGAAGGTCGGAATTAGATGGAAGTATTATACATAAAGATTGGAGGTAAGTAAGAGGACTTGTCATGAAAAACAACTAAATTAATAGAAACAGCAGTTAACTTCGACGTGAATTAGACAGAAGAATCAATTCACGTTAATGGGAATGTATATATGAAGATTTTAATTTAAAATCTTCCTGTGTGTCTGTATCCTCTGCCTGAAAAGTTGATTGTGCTACCTTCTTATTTGGAGAGAGTAAATAAGTTATTCATCGAAGAGTATTACAAAAAGAAATGCAATATTCTTCAGAAAAAAATATGTTTCTCGTCCTCTATTTACCCTACATTTTTTTGTAATTTTATTTCTGCAGAACTAATGGTGAAAGTTCGTTCTATAATTTTCATAATTTCTCAGTATATATCAAGTGGGATTGTTTATACCAATAATGCTATAAAATTAAAATATGAGATTAACTCATTTTTATTGTTGACTTTCATATTGAGGAAATGTGAATGTATGAACAAATATGGAAAATATATACCAGAGAAAAAAAAGCGAGGGGGGGAGAGAGAGAGAGAGAGAGAGAGAGAGAGAGAGAGAGAGAGAGAGAGAGAGAGAGAGAGAGAGAGAGAGAGAGAGAGAGAGAGAGAGAGAGAGAGAGAGAGAGGGAGGGAGAGAGAGAGAGAGAGACAGACAGAGAAAGAGTGTGAAAGTGAGAGAGAGAGTGAAAGTGAGAGAGAGAAAAACAAAGAAAGAAAGAAAACTCCCAACTTGATATATACTCCTCCAAATTTGATAGTGTTTATATATATCTCTTGCACTACTAATCTGAAATGATATGATTTCACATTCTGATTTCAACTCCTTTATTTCAAATCACATTACATCATGTTGCGTCTTTGTATCATATCTAGACTAATTACTTATACAGTTTTGTAGATAATAAATAAATGTCCACCCCTTTTTCATGGTTTACGTATATACATATAATTTTCATTATCATAATTTACCATCAGTTATCATTATCATTATCATTATCATTATCATTATTATTATTATTATTATTATTATTATTATTATTATTATTATTATTATTATTATTATTATTATTATTATTATTATTATTATTATTATTATTATCATTATTATTATCATTTTTATTATTATTATTATTACCATTACTATTATTATTATATTATCATCATTTTATGATTAGTATTGTGATCATCATCATTATTACTCCTACTGCTACTACTATTATCAGAATTACTATTACTTTATTTTTACTATTATCATTATTTTATTATTATTATTATCATTATTCTTTTATTATTATTATTATTATTATTCTTTTATTATTATCATTCATTATTATTATTATCATCATCATAATTGTTATTAACATTTTTAATATCATTATCATTCACTAATATCATATTATCATTAATATAAAAAAGAATGTAAAGTTACACATTGATAAACCTCAAAATTATACCATCGGGGCATCATTGCAGATCAAGACACTGCTATATATTTATAAAATAGAAGATTAAAATGATTCTGTAGCAAAGGCATTGAACCTTTAAAAAAAACTATCAAGAGTTGACAGAATGACAATCTTCAAATGCAAACCACTAACTGTAAAAGAGAATAAGTAAATGAAAAAAATAATAGTGATCAATAAAAGATAAAAAAAAGAATAAATATGAAATAAAATCAATAATCTGGAGCATTGGATTTCTGAGCAGCGATTCAATTTGAATACTTTGGAATTTAAAGTGGAAATCCTAGTGACTGTGTGAATGATTAATGAATAAAAAAAATCATGGAGAGGATGTGAAGTACTATTGTCATTATATAAAATTATTATAAAAATGGAGCACCAACATCCCTGCAATATCCAATGTCTAAATCCAGCAAGCATACAGTTGAAAAATACTAAAAATAAAATAAAAATGCAATTTCAAACAACATCATCTTTCTCATGATTTTTTCAAGGAACCGTCAGAGACTGCCTAATTTTAGTGAGATTTTGGGGGCCGTGATTCTTCTATTAATTCAAGGGTAAGTGTTGAGTCAAAAGAGAAACAACACCCCTTGAGCTTGATATAATTAACAAGTCAGTTTGAAGTCCATTAACATTTTAGGTAAAACATTTATCCATTCTCAATCAGTTCCTTGGTTTTACAAGGGTTCAGACTCGTATCCCACTGAGAGCACCAAGATTAAATATACAATGATGTAAGTTTATATGTGTGCCTGTGCGCGTGCATGTACGTGTACAAGTGTTTATACTATATATTGATCTGTCTATATACAATTTTGTACATGTTTGAAGTATTGATTTGAGATATGTTTTATATATATATGTATTTCATATATAGATAGATTATATATAAAGCCAAATTGACTGATTCATAGGTATGGATATATATGAAATATAGACATTCATAAAGTACACATATAATCAAATTTAAACTTGTAAATCATGACCAGTGGAGACATGTTTTCCATGAACAAAGTTTCTAAATAAATGAAAGAAAAGTTCAGTGCTACTGTTGTTTATTTTTGTTACATTAGGAACACATCTCAAGGCAGCATGTTTAACATTGTCATTTTCTTTTAATAGCTGCAGTTATGAAAAAAGTAAAAAAGTACCTTCTACTGGCAATCTATCCTCTCACTCTGATGGAACCGAAGCAGAGAACATTAAAAACAGGGATTTGGTCAAACGTTTTTCTTTTTCTTATTCTTATTTATTGTCTCTCCTTGCCTGCTACAGTTGCAATGTCGAGATGGAAAAAAGAGTACTATGCAATAACATGGAAGCCTTCATAAAAAACACAGGGGAAGAACTTATAATCTAATTCACTGGCACTTTTCTTCATTGTTGTCAAGTTAAATTCACCAGACGTGTTATTTTCCTTTCTGTACCAACATGTTTGCTTAAGGTAGTGAGGGGATTAAGAGATATTAACATTGCATAGTGTAGCAGGTTCAGATTTACCAAGTGTAGGCAAAATAACACATTAAGCACATTTTAAGGCAAGAAAAAATGGGTATTATTATCTCTCTTTTTTTAGTCTCTTAACTATAGTACACTTATGTGATAAAATGTTTTTACAAACACATGTGCAAAGACTTTCTGCACTTGAGAAATGAAACCTATTCTGTCCAGTACTCAACCAATTAATAATTTGTAATGAGTGGTTCATAAACTGTATACACATACAAATTATATATCATGTGGGGACAAGCAAACATGAGCTGCACTGAACAAAGTGCTACAAGTTTCTCAACAAGTTGTGGTCACATTTATAAGGGCATCACATAATTTTAACATGAACTGCACCTTAAACCTACAAAGTTAATAAAACAAGATTGGTATCCAATCCAAATGGTTTATTTGTATCTCCCTCCATAACACCAAACTTCCTTCTAAATCATCAGGTTTTATCACACTTTAAATGAAGACAAAATCCATAATTTTTTTGTTTTTGTCATATATGCAATGGTCAACATGGCAACTACACATTCTGATATTAAATAATGTTTCACCCAACACCAGTGGTGGGTTAGTTTAATGTATGACGAGGCAAGGTAGTTACCAACCATCTGGGTGCCATCAACTTACTACGTCTGAAGTAGCAGAAATTTAGAAAATCATGGAACACTACTTTCAGATTTAGAATTTGTACAAAAATAACAATTCCTGTAATTGAGCCAACTATGCAAGTTGATATATAACCATTTCCACTACATCAGACTTCCCCCAGACTGGCTTCGATACCCACTATGACTACTGAGGAAAGGCCAGAGTGAGCAGAAGATGCCAAATCTGTTCCAGATGAAACCAACACACTGGGAAAAGAGAATGCTTCTCCACTCTTTTGACAATAATTGATAACCCTTTGCATAAATGCCACGTACTTCAAACCTATTTTCTTACTCAGGCACACCATATTGTAAAAAATTAACAAACTGATACTTAAAATCATAACTGGTCTCGTCTCAAGGATTATCTTGGTTTTTGAGCCCACAAAACCAAGCCATAGTCCCTAGACAAACCTCCTAAAAGTTTGCACTAATGTTATAATAAAAAAGAAGATACCAATGCTAGGTACACGCCACTAGACGTGTACATGTAAGAATAGGAAACATATGATAGTCTGAGGCAGTTATATAAGAAGTTAAGCTCATACAAATATTGGTTACTCATTCATTTTATCAACACTTCTAAACTCATTACTTGTTATGAGATGCCATAAGCTATAGGAAAGGTAAAATTAGAAAAAAAAAAGCCTATCAGAATTTGAATACTGAGCTATTGATTACTGTAGTTCTCTTGAATTAAATGAATTATCTGAGAAATCTAGAGATGATTGGAATCAACATGATATTTGTGTTCAGTCTTGGTATTAAATTTATATGACAAGTTTATATGAAAGTCAAAGGACACTCGACCTAACTGGAAGCAAACCAACTGGAACCATGGTTCATCAAATGGTACAGGGAGGGTGCTGGCCCAGGGGATAAGGGACAGGGAAGGTGGGAACACAAACAGGTAGTGACTGGCTGAGGGAGGAGCTTGTGCGAGAAGTGCCTGCGTGCAGATGACTCTCGACGCTCAAGACCCGAACAGCCAGTTTTCTTGTGCTTAGATTGCTCACATTCCCTATGGAGTTTAGCCCCAAAGCTGCATTAAGCCTGACTTGATCGGCAAGTTATCTGAACTTTGGCATCTTCCACCATCCAATAGTGGACATTTTTCCCTTTCACAAGTATAAAATCCTTCATATATTTATACAGTTATCAAGTTTCTCTTGTCTAAATAGCTTCAGAGGCATCACCAACTCCACTAAAACCCCTACTGACCATTGAAGGCAATCTGTGCATCTGTTAAGCCTGGGGCCACTCCAAGGTCTACCGTAGATGCGTCCTACCCTACAGAACAATACATTTCCTTCGTCTCTGAGGTTCTGGGGGCTCCAGGGCTGCGAGAATTGCTTCGTCAAATACATTCTTCAGCCCCTTCTGTGTGAGCGCGGAGCATTCCACGTACTTGACGGCCTTCAGCTCGCGACTGAGCTTGTCCCCTTGTTCGTAGGTGATTGGCTTCTGCTTATTCTTTGCCAACTTTTCTACTGTTGCTGCATCATCTCGCAAATCTATCTGTGTGCCTACTAGGAGGAATGGAGTCTTCTGGCAGTGGTGAGTGATTTCTGGTACCCACTGCAAGAAAGAAAAACAAGATTTTACGTACTAACTAAAATTAAAACGATAAGCAAGCTTGAAAATCAACTCACCACTAATTACTTTTATATAACATGTATGCACGCACACGCACACGCACACGCACACACACACAGAGTAAGTCCCCAACTTAAGAACATAATGGGGACCGAGAGGCTGTTTGTAAGTTGATTTGTTTGTATGTCAAAAGTCGGGTCTCCATTACCTTTTTTCCCATTGTTTTAGTTTTGTTTACATTAAGAATCCCTGTAAATAAATCCCAATAAGTACGACATACCTTATACAGTACCAGAACTCTTGAACTATATTCGCGCCCAGGAAATTTGAAATTTACTAGCATCTTTCAAACAATTTTTTGGACTTTAGTACTTAAAAAATTTTGTTTGTATGTATGGAATGTTCACAAGTAGAATGTTCTTAAGTAGGGGACTATCTGTATATATGTATATATATAGATATAGATATATATATATATATATATATATATATATATATATATATATTATATATATATATATATATATATATATATATATATAAAATGTTTGGCACTCCTTGGGGGAGGAAGGGGAGGATTCATTATTTTTTTTTTTATTATTATTATTATTTTTTTTACTTACTTCCGCTCTGAAAATGCACACATTATTCAAAACAAAACAACCCTCTGCACTTTTCCCACCCTGTATCACATTCCTTTTTCCACACCTCCTGAATGCCTAAACAGAGACGAGAGGTGTTCACAAATTTTACCACAGCAAAACGCTCTTTCGCACTCACCTTTTCCTTGACATTCTCAAAGGATGAAGGGGATACCACTGAGAAGCAGACTAAGAAAACATCTGTCTGTGGATAGCTAAGAGGTCGCAGTCTGTCATAATCCTCCTGACCTGTGGGAAGAATATTGATTAGCAACAAAAGGTAAAGCAAAGTAGGAGTTGCAAGATGAAGTCAAGTGATCTTTTCTATTTCTGAATTTGACGCTTTAGCAAACAAACAAACAAACAAAAAAGTACATTTTAGACTAGATCCCTTTTTCTGGCCAGCGTTTACCCTGTCAAAATCAGTAATTTAACTAATGCTAATCTCTTACCTACCTATCCTACCTTGTTACCCAATCTCCTTAATTAAAAACACGATGGATATATGTACGTTTTCACTTTGTCTGTGCCAAACGAAGGCACATTTATGTGACAATTATATTTTTTAGGTTATTTCTTAAAGAGATTTTTAATTAATAAAATGAGAAAGTTGTTAGCCTTACACCAACACTTAAATTTAAAACGAGTCCATCTGAACTCCATTAACATTTTAGGATTTTCAGGAAAAATAGTTGGCAGCAATTCTCAATCAATTCCTTGTTTTTTCTAGGATTTAGATAATGCCTCTTGTCCAGCTCTGGCTTCATAAACACAAAATGGAAAACGAGAGTCTGTCCCCAACACTGACTCCCATTTTGTTCCTTGGCATTCTCAAGAATCATGAAAAAAGTAAGTTCATTTATGGCTACAAAAATCAACTTGTTAAAGTCACATCATGTTATTCACTGTGACTGTGACACTGTAGCATCAGCTGGCTAGCCACATGAGCAGGAGAGCTTGCAACTGGTGAGGATCTAGCAGGGGAGACATGACAGACACTTCCATGACAATCATTTGGACTATGAATCACGCTTGACTAGCACTTGAAGGAATTCATGAAATGCGTCACATTACGAGGAAAACCGTGAATGGATTACTGCTCTCTTGAATGAACACAAGGAGGAGAGGATGAAGAAGCACCAGCAATGCATTTATTTTTAAATGCTTTCTTGTGAGGTTGTATCTGCATAAAATTATTCAAATCCACATATTATATATTCTCAATCAGTTGTCAGCTAGATATTGCACCTTGAGAGATGACCTTTGCCATATGACTTTTTGTAGAACTAGATAAAGGTACAGTCCATTCATTCTGGATAAATGGAAGGCCCCGTTATATTTTTTTTTTTCACAACTGTTAATTAATAACAATATCCGATTTAATCTGATCAACAATTTCTTCAAGTTCACAGTTTAAATCAATTCATAATCTTGTTTCTAACATGCTGCTGATTACATTAATACTAACACATGATCAGAAAGTTCAAAGTTGGTTTTGCTCTTTCCTCTGAAACATGGGTAACAGGCTAGCTAGGAGGTCGTGTCACATTTGATAGCTAATCATAAAATTGAACTATTAACTTGAGGAACAGGATTTGATTCTTCTTAGCCTTTCATCAACCCCTATTTCCTTTTCTCATGACCCATTAATCACATTAAAACTGGCATATCTGATAAAAAAGTCTAAATTATAATTGTTTTTTTCATTATCTTTTTTTCTGTAAAAACATGGTAGTGGTACCACACTGTGTCCTGTCAGGTGATCAGAGCTTGTGCTCAGAGTGGGGAGGGAATGAACAGCCTACTGGGTTGCAAATCCTTTCATTAACCCCTTAACGCCGGGTGACGCCAATCGGCGTGAAAACAAACCGCTCAAAAGCTGGTGCGTGGCTGTACGCCGCGGCGGCGCGCCAAAGCGCGGCGAGCCAGTGATTCGGGCTGATGTACCCTACTCACGCACTCAAAGTTGGCGCGCCGCCTTTGTTTGCCAGAGCATAGAGTTTCTTTTTGTTTTCTACACCCGGCGCCATTGGGTTAAGAAAACTATCTTGGATATACCAGTGTTTCTGCTTTATGTCTGCAGTGACCATGGTAATCATGATAATGTTTCATCTTAGGCAGCATACTTCATCCTTGAACCGATTTTGTAGCTGTAAATGCAAGTGACGACTAAAACGCGGTATAAACATCAATCTTACCCATTATCTAATTCATATTTGCTCTCATTCTATATCCTGTTTTATATTTCATATTCTTCAACTGGCACATTTATGACTGCATAGAGGAATAATTCTCTCTGAAGTATTTGCAGAATTAAAAGTATCAAAGTATTTTCTTATGGTCCAATTAATTGTTAGTATGAGATGTTATCAGCTTGTGGGTTAGAAGTCAAGTGAGCACAAGCAGTACAATAACCTGTCTGTCTATGACACTAACAAAAGGGGGGCAAGACCTCCTATATATCCAAACTAAAAGATTAAGAGTGAAAATGGCATTAAGTAACTTTAAATAAATCTTTATATTAAAAAAATTAAAAATGTTGCTCTAATTATAACAGCAACATAACCGACAACAATAACAACAACAACAACCTGTGTTACTTACCAGCTGTATCAAAAAGGCCTAATGTGTATGGCTCCCCTCCTATCATAACAGTCACAGCATAGTTGTCAAATACCTGAGAAAGGAAGAAGAGTCAACAAAACACACCATGTTCCTTGAACTGCATTCTCCCTCCCACATAAAAACACGCATCTCGTATTTCCAACAACTATCCTACCCTACAACAAAAACAAAAAGGCATTTGCAATTGCAGCAAATTAAGAGTCCCCTTTAAAACAAGACAACACTATTGATCTGAAGAATACCATTCCATGCAGCAAAAGGTCAGCAGAGTTACCTTATGTAGCGTTATATGTCATACTAACAAATTTCATAGAAAAGCAATACATGATATATGTGAGCTGTCTTTTTGGCATGAAAAATAAATCAACTAATCAACCATAAAACATACACATTTCTTCAAAAGTCACTGTGGATCTGGGTATGAAATGACTTATTCAAAAAAATCACATACATTAAGAGAGATCTTCTCTGGAATACCATGAGAGTAGAAAGATGTAATATCAATATCAAATAAATAATAAACTGAATTCAATATTTGCATTAACATTCAACTCTACTGTTAATGATTAGAATTTGACTCACAATAATAAATTACTTAAATAGTAATAAAACCTAAAATAAGTAAATAAAACTTAAAAAAAAAAGGAATACAGGATCAACAAACAACTTCCGTCACACTTACTGTGGGAACGTATTCTGAAGGGAACTTGTTTGTTGTGTAGGAGATGAGGAGGCAGGTCTTACCCACCGCTCCATCGCCCACCACTACGCATTTAATGGTCTGCATTTCTCACGCTCCCCAGCAGCCTGTTTGGGACAGTGGTCAAAGTTAAGCTCACTTCCAACAGCAGTTTGGGAACCTGGGCTGTCTCATTCCTATTAAACGACAAAAGGCTTCCGTCAGCATTGTAGATACACGTGTCAAGCAAACAGGGTTTTTAGTTTATAAATAACAAGTACAGTTAGGAAGTGGTAATGCTAAGCCACTTCCTAACCACACAGATAATAGTTTCATATAGTTTGTTGAGAGAAAAGGAAAAATAAATAAACAAATGTGGGTAGGGTACGGATACAAAATTTGTTAATCACTTCTGAAACAGATCATAGGCATTTTTAAAGGATCTGTACATATCACAGTACAAATATCTATTCTTGCCAAAAGCTATACTTGGGCTCTCATTGGCTATGATGCACTGTGCACCGTGCATCTTGTAAATAAAAAAGACTAAAGAAAAAAATCACTCTCTGTATTTCACAGCAGTATTACTAATTACATGAACAACAAGACAACCACTATTTAGGCTATTTTCTTTTGCTTTTTTACTATTTCTGATATTTCTGGGTTTGTAATTTTACCCTTGTACTTTCTCTGCAGAATTCCTTTTTCCATTCCGATACTACTTTCTTAATAAAATCAGTTTCCTTTTTTCAGAAATATCCACGATTCACAGAAATTAAAACCACTGTCTTTCCTTAAGAGAAAAAATGTACACACGCACACACAATATAAATTTTAAAAAATAATATTCTTTGATATAAAAACTATATAAATGAATGCCCACAAGTAGCACCCACATTTTCTTGCACAGTATTAAAGAACGATAAAGAACTAATGTTACGGAACTGATCTTTTACACATAAATGGTACGTATGATACACAACCCTTTCTAAGAAGTATATTATGGACACTTTCTAAGTCAATTTGGTAATGCAACTCAGAAAGGGGTGTGGCTGCATTCTCTCTTCCCGAGTGTTAGCAGGGCCTTGTAACAGATTTATTTAAGGTGGTGTATATGTACTAATGCAAGGGTGAGCAAAAAATAAATATATAAAAAAATAATACAGCCTATGCATTGATAATAATAACAATAATAATGTATCTCCCAAACAAAAGAAATATCCACGATTCACAGAAATTAAAACCTGTCTTTCCTTAAGAGAAAAAAGGTACACACGCACACACAATATAAATTTAAAAAATAATATTCTTTGATATAAAAACTATATAAATGAATGCCCACAAGTAGCACCCACATTTTCGTGCACAGTATTAAAGAACGATAAAGAACTAATGTTACGGAACTGATCTTTTACACATAAATGGTACGTATGATACACAACCCTTTCTAAGAAGTATATTATGGACACTTTCTAAGTCAATTTGGTAATGCAACTCAGAAAGGGGTGTGGCTGCATTCTCTCTCTCCCTTTTATTACAAAGATTGGCTTTCCAGCAAGTATGAGGCATCAGCAGAAAGTGTACATACTCTAAATGATGGCCTTTACTGCAGCGATGCTATTAGCCGAGTGTTAGCAGGGCCTTGTAACAGATTTGATTTAAGGTGGTGTATATGTACTAATGCAAGGGTGAGCAAAAAATAAATATATAAAAAAATAATACAGCCTATGCATTGATAATAATAACAATAATAATGTATCTCCCAAACAAAGCTGTCTAATTCAATTTAGGCACACATAAGAGTTCCTTTTAATAGTTATTATATCACAGCCAAGTGCATCCAGGTAAAAAAAAAATAAATAAATAATAAAAATCCATAAACATGGTTTTGATGAAATTTCAAAAGTACGACATGACTAGCTCCAAGTTGTATAAAACCTAAATATGCAATTGCAATTCACTTGATAATCTCAAGTCACACACTCAATTTTTTACCTAACACGTACAGTCTTTTCTAAGTGATACGCTTCGGTCGGTGAAACCAGTTATTTACATGAATCCTAGAACACAAAAATGATTTCTGAATTGCTGGCCATGAGACCCTCTTAAAAAAAGGCATGATAAATTCTGACAGGATAAAATACAGATGCAAAAGGATGTATACTCATCCTATGCTGACGAGAGACGAGCATCAAATCACCTGCTTTTGACCTTATTCTTATTTATTTGTACATTGACCATTCCCTTTATCATCACAACTGCAGCTGAGATTTGGATCCAAAGGTAAGGTAAGGTAAGGTAAGGGAGAGGAGGGGGGGTAGGCAAGAGGTAGTGAAACACAACAACACACTATCGCCATATCAAATTATAAATGGAGGTTCACTATATCTATTTAGAAACTATGAAAGTTATAAACATACCCAAAAACTAATTGTCGGCCATTTTCGTAATTCAAATAATCAGAAGCGACAAACTGTATATCAGGGTTCTTTACAGGCTGGCCCTCTTATTTCACTCCTATCAACAGAGATCAGATAAGGCAGTTTTATCAGCACATACAAGCCCTTTGATCACCAACCAGCAGTCAAATTGGTGACTGAGACTATTCAAGCTATGCATGAGAACCCTAAACCCGTACCACTTGGATATAAAATGACGTTATCCTTGACTTAATTCTTGCAAAGCTATTTCAGTTTTAGCAAAAACTTCTGGCATGAATATCAATGACAAGCTTATCCTCAAGGTGAAAATTACACAGCAGAATATTTCTTGACTTTCAAAATCATCTATCTATAGAGACTATTTTTCCAACCATATTATGCAAATGTACCATTATATCAAAGACTATCCATTCTCCTCTAATGTATGAGAGTATACTAACTATCACAGGAGGGTAAAGACTAAGCAAAGCACATCCTGTCAGCTGTTTTGAAGTGACTCAATCTTCCAAAGGAGAGGTACTTTTCCCAATGTCTTATCTTTCCTTCTTTTTTTATATTCCTTAAGTAATTTATTATTCAAACTTCTCCCCTGAAATACAGAGACAATAATAGGAAGATATCCTCTAAAAAAAATACCCATATTAAAAATAATACTAATAAAATAAGATTTTAAAAAGCATATTTGAAGAGCTTTCACTTATGAGAGATGCCCAGGCAGAGGTCAGATTTTTCCCTGAATACAGTCTTATACCATGGATATACTACAACAAGCTATTTTCATGGACTATACCATATACACAGATAGATAGATAGAAAGATAATGTGACTGAAACCTTATGAGAACATTAAGCATACTAGAATTTTGACTTAATGCCACTCACAAAATATTTACAAACTTCTTGCCAAGATCACATTCTTAAATATTCTGTGTAATACGGAGATTTTCACACATTTTTCTCGTGTCAAGAGTCTGAACCAAAACATTACCAATTCACTACTGGGAAACATGGTCCTACACAAGTTCTGCTTACAATACCTAGTCACCATCTTACAATACAACGCAACCAGAATAAGTATCTTCATCAATATAAACATTCCCCCTTTCATCTCATGAGCGTTAAAACTCAAACTTGTTACAACATCCATCCTTAAAATACAAACATAAGCCAAAGATTACAATGTGGTGATTTCACTGTTGATACAGAATCCAAATCTAAAAATGCATATCCTTTACACAAATAATCTTGTTAGGAAACCATACATGAAACCACCTCAGGAATAAGGATTATCTATGGAACTTCCAAATTTGTGAAAATCCTAAAATCGGACAAACTGAGAATGTTGGCGATACGACTACCTGTAGAAAAAGATACAAATGAGAATAAACATCACAGCGCATGAGATGTATTCAAAACAATAAAATACATTTCTTGTACTGTAAAAAGGTTCATTTTCATTCATACCTTTTCTAAATTTTTCATCAGTAATACACATTGATAGGCCTATTGTAGATGGAAAACAACAAAATCCAAATTTTAAAAAATTTTGATCATACTCCATAAATTGTTGCATAACTGACCTGCAAATGATGCCAACTCCTATGCCTACTGGACCGTATACCTTTGAACACTACAAATCTAACTCTCAGTATAGAAAATTTCTCCCCACAAATATCAAATATTCCTGCTATAATCAGCAAAAGTACTAATGGCTGTCATATCATCAATGCCAGGCAGCATTTAAGTTTGCCAAGAAGCACCGAGCCCATGTGGCAAGTGTTCATGTGGTTGAGCTTTGTTTCCGTCACATGTTAAAATTGTCTTTCACTTTCTTTGGCCTTGTTTGTAGTTCTTGTAAAGATAAAACCCTCCAAAATTCATCTCTCAGTCTCATTTATTGGAAGATCATAATTATATGCCACAGCCAAATTTGTTAATAGCAATTTCTGTCAAATAACCAAATTTTGTAAATCTTAGATCTCCTTCACAATTTTGGAACAAAGACCAACTGCTCGGAAGAAATCTCTCTGCCTGCAATATATAATTTATGAAACTCCTTTTGAAAGTATATGGAAGAACTTACCAACTAAGGAATATGATAAAGTCACTGCCAATAACAAAGAGTGCTAAGTAAATCTATCCTTGAAACTGAACACTTCGTGCCCCAAAATTGCCCCTCTATGCCAAGTCCACAAACACATGCTTTCTGATCCTATTTTCAAACACTTGCCATGTTCGGTGTTGAAATGAACCTTTTCACAATACTCATCTTGTTTTCACGTACATACATCACTAATCCCCATTCCTTAAATAGCTATTGCACAACTCCAATGCTAGAGTACAAAAAATATATGAAAATACACCACAGAAAGAAGATCTAGATTAATCATTTCCACACCCAAGCAAATTCCTTGAAAGACACCCAAGTGTCTTTCAAGGAATTTGCTTCAACACCTTTATATATATATATATATATATATATATATATATATATATATATATATATATATATATATATATATATATATATATTTTAAGTTTGGAAACCTCTGGCATTAGATCTGACAGATTTGGCCTCAATGGTAACATGACAACAAAGCATAAATTATGGCTCTGGTTTCCAAAAAATCCTTTTAAAAATTCAAATAAAGTATTGAAGAAGCAAGAATGAACTGCAACACAATATGAATTCATTTATACACAATTTTAGATATACTGGGTATCCTCACATAGCTTAAGATCTTTTCATTTTAATACACTTGTATATTTCCATTTCTGGCACAAAACTTTACAGGGTCAGACTGAATTAGCAGAGTGACCTGCACCAAGGAGATCCAGGAGGGCCTAAACTAGATTAAACCTTAGGCACAATAGTGTTTTGCTTACCAGCAAAAGGGGAAAAATCTGGTATAATCTACTTAAACATTCTATGATTTCAGCAACCCTGTCACAACAGAAAATATATCTAGTTCTTTCCTGCCTTTCATCTTGCACCAGCATGCATTTTTTGCAGTCCCAGCAACAGGTGGTGGGGTGTAAGTGCATAGTAAAACCAGTGTGTTATATACTACACTGTCTAAGAGATGTACTGAGCATCTGGACAGCAAATGTAATCTACTGGTACTTCAAAGAAGCACAGACACATGCAATCTATGAAAAAGTATAGTCATACTCAAAGTACACTCAAAACAGAGAGGTAACTAAAAACTACCAATTATGACTAAACGATACAAAGATACCATAGAAATAAAAGCAACAAAATCCCCATATAGATATCATGAGCAGAACATTAGAAAATATTACATAGCATAAACATCCAAAAGCCTCATGAAAATTAATCCACTTAGTATAGAAAAAAAACAACTACCCTGTCTACTGAAATTTAATTTACCACTTGTATTTACAAAAATGGTAAGTCACCTAATAGTCACTAAATATTGATATCAACAGCATTAGAAAAAAATAAACAAAACAACTTTTGCATAAATTCAAGGGATGGGGAAATGAGGTTTGGTCACCAGAGCCTACTAATTGACTCCTTGGTGGCTAAACACTTCTTGAGCCAGCTGTGTGCAACAAATCTCACAAAAAAACTAAAGTTGACAGTACATACTGCCAGGGTGATTGGGTCAACTTGTTCTTGTTTCGTGTGATAGAAATGTTCTGTGTTGTGTTTTGTCCACAGGACTGGTTGATGGAGTGATATCTTTTTTTCAAGAGGGTACTATAAAATTGGTATCGATCATTTTTAACCCAATGGCGCCTGGTGTACAAAAAAAAACAAAAAAAAACAAAAAAAAAACTCTACGCTTAAGCAAACAAAGGCGGCGCGCCAACTTTGAGCGTGTGATTAAGGGACATCAGCCCGAATCACTGGCTCGCCGCCGGCTTGTTTGGCTGCACGCCAGCTTTCGAGCGCTTTGTTTACACGCCAATCGGCGTCACCCGGCACCAAGGGGTTAAAGATTATTTCAAGTGATTTGTCAGGTCTTCTATCATACCCATGAAAAAAAGTAAATAGCAGCAATACTATTATACAAGTACTTACTACTATTAAAAAATTAAAATGCATGTTTGGTCAATTAAATAAGAAGTGATATAATACATAAATTAGTTATATTCCTAGTGCCTCCAAAGCACCAGTGAGCCAGCCATAGGTTTGATGCTACAATAAAAGCCAAAAGACCTCATATTCCGGCAAGATAAAACTTTGTAGGCTTCCTTGGTGACTTAGCTAGGTTACTGTCGGATGATGAACCAATACAAGTTTTCTCAGCAAAATTTGTCCTTTCATTCATTATTGTAATTAAAGAAAATACAAACCATCAAAATCAATACCAATTTATACGACAAGCAATTAAGCATTTGATAACATCCTTGAAAGAAAGAAAATCTGACAAATTTCAAACATGACAAATGGCACCCACACTAAAGGCTGTCATTACTCATCTATACACACTAAAAGACGTGGTCAGTTATTCGAGTAGGGAGCGAGGCGAGAGGAGAGATGATAGACAAGAAAAATGGCACTGTGCACTTTCTCAGCTGACACAATGACAACAAGCTTAAGTGCCAAGTGTACAAATGAAAGATTTTGGCCAAGTACTATCAAAGTCATAGCTGAGACTCATGACAAATTTATTTTATTTCATTACTATGCTGGATTATTGTTGGGTCTATCAACAAGTAAACATTAGTTCTTGTTAACTGCCAACTTTGAAATGTGGTAACAGTGTAAGTTATAAACAAAATCACTAAGGAGTCAATGCCAAATTCTACAGCAATTTTGTAGCAAAATTTATCAAACCAAACTCTATGACCTTTTCCATCTACTGTCCCAGGGGAGAATACATTATATAATGAGCAAGATGCATGTGTAGCGGGAGTGGTGCATTGATCAATATCACTTTAGAGATGAATCTATATTTTATTTTCAAATAAAATTTTGGGTATGCATCTGAGATTAATTTATTTTTGACAATGTTTGGCCGATGTAAAATAATGAGATACTGTAAGGAAAAGAAAAAAAGAAAAAAAAGTGAAAGTTTGTTGGATCTACCACGCCTGAATACAATAGCCACCTCATTCCTGACATTCATGCTTGCTCATTGCAAAGCTTAATTGACCTTTGATCAATCACTCCTGTTTTATGTTTATGTCCAAATATGCTCATTTAGGCAACAATTTCATCATTGTAAATTAGAGATTTCAAGTTCTCCAATCACTGACAGGGAAAGGGCCAGGGTATGTACTACAGCAGATACATTTGAATACACAGCCACTGTGCAACAATTCAGCCTTGGAAATAGCTAAGTAGGAAGATTCCCCATCCCCTGCTCATCACTGGTTTTATTCGGCAAGTGAAAACTTTCTTGCCTCCCGAGCTAGGTGCAATCATGGGCCATCCAAGTGGAGGGTCTGCAGCATGGTTAAAGTTTACAATGACCACACTCATCAGACTAAGTTCCGCACTTAAATGAACAAATGAACCCCGCCCTAAACACACACAGTTCCCACATGAACCAAAAACTTGTCTGACCTCT